CTTGCCTTTATTTCCTTCTTTTTGTACATCTATTTCTAATTCTCAAACTTCTCCAAAGTCTTGCATTATATTACTAAGAAACCAGTGAAAAGAATACAAAAAGGCAGCAACTTTTTTTTTTTAAGTAAATAAATTTATAAAAAACAAAAAGAGGGGAAAGAATATACATAGGCCTAATAAAAGGCAACCAGCCTATATCGGGACATGCCCCGAGATAGGGATCAAAAGAAAGAAACCTAATTCACGACCAAAAAAAATCCTCTTGTGGTCCTATCTTAATCTCACCAAGAAAGATAAGGATACAAGATGAGCATACAAAACTTTTTCCAAAGGAACTCAGCCTACCGCAGGACACCCCCTAGGTTAGGTGAACAAACAAAAAATAGTAATTAATGGGAAAAACAAAGAAAATACAACCAATAAACAAGAACAAGTCTTCACCCATCAAGGAGGAAACCAACCACATCTAAACTTTAAGAAGCATCATTCGTCCTCGTCAAATCACCAATGGGGATAGAATCATGGTAAATGGCTTTGAAAATGGTTCTATGGAGGCCCCAAGAATCTGCCAATTTCCTGTTGCTATGAGAGGCTTTGAAGTTCTTGATGCCCATTACTTTATCTCTCACCACACCTTTGATAGTATCGATGATAGTTCGGGCATCCTTACACTCATCTCCAAACATTCTACTATTTCTCTCCCTCCCAACCCAATAGACTATAACCTCTATACAAAGTTTGCCAATCATGTATTTGAGTTTTTTACCTTTCCATCTTGTTGTCAAGTGGTGTATATAATCATGCCAAGTTTTAGTAGAATAACCTACATCAACGAGCTTGATAATACTATACCAAATGGTTTTAGTGAAATAGCAATTAAAGAATAGATGAGCAAGATTTCCCATACCCAAATTACAAAAGCAACAATTAGCATTAGAAATAATCTCATACCTCAATAGTTTTTCCTTCGTAGGGAGTCTTCCTCTAATTGTCATCCACAAGATCATAAAGTGTTTAGGAATGGCTTTTTGAAACCACACCAAATCCCACCAATCAACCATTAGTCTTCTCCCTCTAATTTCCTTCAAGGCCAGTTTGATAGAGAACATACCCGAGGGCAAAGGAGTCCAAACCACCATATCATCATCATGGAAGGAGAAAGGTTTATCGAATTCCTCATATCCATAAGATCCCAATAATTTGCAACAAAACACAGCCAATTACAACCATCAATCACAACACTCACCATGGCATCTTTGGAAATCCCTACATCAGACATAATTCTATTTCCATACTTACAAATNTAGTGTTTGTGTACTTGATGTTTGATGAGAGTTTGGATGAATTATGGAAGAATTGGAGTAGAATTTATGGAGTGTGAATCCTGGACAGGTTTGATGTTAATCTTGGTGTGTTTTATTCCAAATTTTGGTGGCTTAGAAGAGAGGTAGAAATGTAGCCAAATTAGAGTTGATGTGTGCATATAAATTGTTTGATGAAATGTCAAAGAGAAGTACATACATGATTATGATTATTTGTTATATTGAGATGAGTTTGTAGATGGTAGAGAATGACATGTTTACATTCCATATTGCATTATTGCATCCAAACATGTGAATTTAGAAAGAATAATAAGCATGAGCCCATCTACATGCATACATACTCATAAGAGCATTAAAGAGCAATAATGAACATTAAAGTAGATGAACAAATAGAAAGAAATGAGAAATATTAAAGAAGTTCAAATCTGAATTTTTTATTTAAAGAAGTGTAAAAAGATAAAAGAAGAGAAGATTGTTGCGATGGGGAACTCGTGAGTAACATATCCCTGCATGCACGCCGCCTTTAGTGAGCGGCCTCAGAATCAGAAAGAAGAATTGTACAATCCGTTAGAAGTGCATGTGGATGAGGCCTATACCCAGAATTAGAGAATACACTCACACAGCCAGGGTTTGAAATCCATGCCTCTACCAAGTCCGATCGGCAAGAAAGAAAGAAAAGAAAAGAAAGAATAGAAAGAAAAGAAAGAAAGAATAGAAAGAAAGCATAGAAAGAAATACAGGGAAAAGAAACATAAAATAGAAAAACATAAAAGAAAATGCACATCCTATGTATTTTTGCATTTGCATCATACCTATGCATGATATTATGCCTACTATCATGAGTAGTGAGAACTTAGAAATTAAGAAAAAACAGAGACAGAACAGTGAAGATTAGAGAAGTGTGATGTAAGGAAAGAAATTCAAAATATAAGCAACAGAGAGAGAAGAGTAGTATAGCGGGTTTACTTACTGAGCAATTAGTGCTCATCCCGTTGTTTTCAATGTTTTTACAGGTAGTAGGTGAGATGCGGTCACTTGGAACGTCAAGAAGTGGAAGGGTTTGGCAACACTGTCGAGTTGTTGTTTTGCAACTGTATTATATTTTGTAAAGATTTGTATATAAAGAAAAATTAGATATGGGCCCATTATTTTATACTCATCTACATGTATATTTTCATATATATATTTAGTGAGTTTTACTATTATTTTACGAGTATATTAGCTAGAGAGAGAAAGTATTACATCTATACAAAGTTTGCCAATCATGTATTTGAGTTTTTTACCTTTCCATCTTGTTGTCAAGTGGTGTATATAATCATGCCAAGTTTTAGTAGAATAACCTACATCAACGAGCTTGATAATATTATACCAAATGGTTTTAGTGAAAGAGCAATTAAAGAAGAGATGATCAAGATTTCACATACCCAAATTACAAAAGCAACAATTAGCATTAGAAATAATCTCATACCTTAATAGTTTTTCCTTCGTAGGGAGTCTTCCTTTGATTGCCATCCATAAGATCATAAAGTGTTTAGGAATGGCTTTTTGAAACCACATCAAATCCCTCCAATCAACCATTAGTCTTCTCCCTCTAATTTCCTCCCAAGCTAGTTTGATAGAGAACAAACCCGAGGGTGAAGGAGTCCAAACCACCATATCATCATCATGGAAGGAGAAAAGTTTAACGAATTCCTCATATCCATAAGATCCCAATAATTTGCAACCAAACACATCCAATTACAACCATCAATCACAACACTCACCATGGCATCTTTGGAAATCCCCGCATCAGACATAATTCTATTTCCATACTTACAAATCAAAGGGCCCTTAGGGTGTCAATTATCTAACCAAAGAGAAGTAGTTTTACCATCCCAATCATCTTTTAATTTTCACCCTAGCAAAGTCCCTAAGATTGAGAATATGTCTCCTTGACCAAGTGCAATCATTGGGCATTTTGGTTTCCCATAAACTCCTATTCCTCAAGAGATAAACCCGAACCCATTCAACCTAAACGTCATGTTTTCTATGGTTGCAAAGGTTCCAAATATGCTTTAGAGTAGCAACAATATTCCACTCCTTAGATTTCACAAAGCCAAGACCACTCTCATTTTTAGGCACACAATTTCATCCCAAGATATTCTAGCATTGTGTCTTTTCAAATCGACCTCGGATCAGAAAAATGCCCTTAAGCTAGCATCAATTTCTTTATGGATTTTGGATGGAAAAATAAAAAGGGAAGCCCAATAGATTTGAACACTCTAAAGAATGGACTTAATAAGGATAGCCCTCCCTGTATAAGATAAAAACCTACTTCTCCAAGAGGAGATTCTTGCCAAAATTGTATCTAAAAGGGGGCAGCATTCCCCATAGGCTAACTTAGAGGTAAGAAGGGGAACTCCTAAATATCTTATGGGAAGTTTGCCCTCGGTAAAGCCAACATCTCTCAACAACTCTCTTTTCTCATCACAAATCACCTCGATAAGGAAGATATTGCTTTTTCCCAAATTACCTTTCAAGCCCGACCATAATTCAAAAGTACGTAAAGCATTAATGATGAGGGATAAGGAATTACCATTAGCTTTGCAAAAAAGCATAAGATCGTCCACAAAACAAAGGTGAGTCAGCCCCAATTTTTTGCATCTCCAATGGAACTTAAAAGTTGGGTTTACTACCAAGAAAGGACCTTCATCACAGTAACAAAAAGATAGGGGGAGAGGGGATCCCCTTTTCTTAGGCCTCTAGAACTTCCAACGAAACCCACAAGCTCACCATTAATAATCACCGAAAACTTGGGAGAAGTAATACATTGCTCAATCCAATTAAGTAAAGTGCTAGGGAAACCAAAAAGCTTGAGGACTTGGATAAGAAGCTCCGAATTAACTGAATCATAGGCCTTCATCAAATCAATCTTCAAAGTACATCTTTTCTCCTTGGCCGAAAGTCTATTTTAGTGATGAACCAACTCTTGACACAAAAGAATATTATTCCCAATCCTTCTATCACCAACAAAAGCCGCTTGGACCCTGACAATAAAAAGAGGCAAGCAACTTTTAATTCTATTTGCAATGATCTTAGTAATTATTGTAATCCTTTGCATTCTATTTATTCTAATTGCATGTTGTTTTCGAAGTCTTGCATTATTTCAATAGATACTTGCTAATTTCTTTGTTGTTGGATTTCCTCAGTGTTGCATTGTAGTCCTTTCTTATTTCTAATATATTCTACTTAAAAACATGTAGTAACAAGTGTAATTTCCTCAAATTTTTTATTTTCAATTTCAAATTAATTATCAAAAACATGAAAAACAACGTTGAAATATTATCCTTTCATAAGATATGTATATTTAACACAATAGGAAAAAACATACAAAGCTATTTGTATGAAATCTTTATTTAAAAATTATTTGTAATATTTTCTTTGATAAATTATTAGATAAATAAAAATAATATTTTTAAATACGAACCCAACAAATGGTAGAGCGTGAACCTTAGTCAAATATTATAAAATTAACACAACCGTTTTTAAGGCAACTTCACTCTACACAAACAACCAAAATTCCACCGACACATAAAAAACAATTATATATTAGAAATTATAAAACAAAATAAAAATTAAAAAATAAAATAAAATAAACTATTTTCCATGGAAGATCCACTGATCAAGTAAGAGCTTCTTCTCCAACAAATCCCAGCTCAATTTGTTCCAAACCTTCGAAACAATGTCTTTTTCAGCGCCAAGAAAACAAACCCTTTTCATATTATCTCTTGTAATTCTCTGGTATACTTCCAACATTGGTGTTCTTTTACTCAACAAGTACTTACTCTCCAATTATGGCTTCAGGTTCCCAATCTTCCTTACAATGTGTCACATGTCAGCTTGTGCAATTCTTAGTTATTTCTCCATTGCGTTTCTCAAAATTGTTCCCTTACAACCTATCAAATCAAAGTCTCAGTTTTTCAAGATTGCAACTTTAAGTGCCGTGTTTTGTGGGTCTGTTGTGGGTGGCAATATTTCGCTCAGATATCTTCCTGTTTCGTTTAATCAAGCTGTGGGTGCTACGACACCCTTTTTCACTGCTTTGTTCGCTTATTTGATGACCCTTAAGAGGGAGGCTTGGGTTACCTATGCTGCCCTTGTGCCTGTTGTTGCTGGTGTTGTCATTGCTAGTGGGGTATGTATTTTTAGTTTCATTTTTTTTAATAGCCAAAATTTGGTTCGGTGATTGTTCTTGGAGTTTGATCTAGATTTGATTGTTTTATGTTTGGATTTTATCATTGTTTTGTGCAATGGCCGAGTGAATAGATCTGGGAATTCTGTTATAAGAATTAGTTTGTGATTATTGATGCTTCACATTGTGATAATTATATGCAATATACTCTGCTTAAACACTGTGAGTTATCTACGAACAAAAGTTTATTAATAGGGGAATTAGATATTTCAATATTGTATTTGGTTAAAAAAAAAAAAAAAAAATTGCAGATGTAGGTTAGCACTTGCAGTTCTTTGTGGCACACATATGTTTTTCTGTCACTTACTTCGAAGAAGATGAGTTGTTTATTATATTTTAGTATTATTCTTGTAGAAATGATCCTAGAGAGTTTAAACTATTCTTGTTAAACGAGCTGTGTAAAATTCTTATGATTGTGGCTGAGGGCAGTTCTGTTAGTATACAATGTGATTAAATAGTTATGTGAAAGATATAAGGTATGCAGACACACACACTAAGACATCAGAGTCATGTCTCTTGTTAGAAACATAACTCCTAGGACAAGGTAACAATTGTCATTATAACTTCTAGGTTGTTAATGGTAGTTTGTAGACAAGTGTTTGTCATGGGAAAAGACAAATAACTATGATCTATAAATATCACGTAGAATAGCCTTAAAGATTCATTCTAATTCTTACAAAACACTTGAGTACACTAGGTATGTTTAAAAGGTTCTTGCCTGTCACCACTAGTCTAAAGCGTATCAAGGGCAGAGAAGGGTTATCAATGCGCAGTTTACCTATTCAAGTATTTCAACAATTTATCTCGTTTTGACTTGAATTGTGTTAAACTTAATTTTTCATGGAGTACTATGAATGTTAGGAATGTTCTAGGGCCAAAAATAATCAAATTTGGTGATTGGAACAGGCAAGAACAGAAAATTCCAGAAACTGTAAATCGTTTTCTAGTTGGAAAAACCAATCAGCATGTGCAACACAAGTGCCAGGGAGGAAGAAAGCGTGTCACTGTTCATCCACACGAGTGGTATGAAGAAAATTGAATATAGGATCTTGACATGGTTGTTAGGCTGATGGTGACATGTAAGAATCAACGAAACTAATGTTCACAATATATCCAAGTATTTTGTGAGAATTAGAATAAATTTTTGAAGTTATTATAGATAGTTATTGTGTCAACTTTCAAGAATTGATGGGAAGTTATATGGCAGTTGTTGTCTTGTCTGAAGAGTTATTGTCTCTTATAGGAGACATGACTCTTTATGTCTTATTGTGTAAGCCTCTGCACACATCTTATATGTAACCATGCAATTATTTAATCACGTCATGTACTAATAAATTCTCTATCACTGCAGACAAGATGTAGAATAAAATTTCCAAATTTGCTTGAAATGTGTGATGAAGCTAAAAGATCATCAGTGTGATAGAAGTTATCATAATTGAAAACAAGTTAGGTTACTGAGTTTTAAGAGAATTAATTTTCTAGAGATATGTTACCGAGATATCATCTGGTGTTACTGTGTTTGGTAAATCTTATTGTGAAATTTCTTCCTCTTTGTTGTTTTATAACTCTTTAACCAGAATTATAAATGTTGAATTCTGCTGTTGGTGGCAGGGTGAGCCAGGTTTTCATTTATATGGATTTATAATGTGCATTAGTGCAACTGCAGCAAGGGCCTTCAAGTCTGTTCTTCAGGGTATCCTGCTTTCTTCTGAAGGGTAAATGCTTAATTGCTTTCGTTACTTTAGCTATACTTAGCGCATTCTGTATTGTAGCTAATACCATTAGAAAATCTATTTCTTTTAGAAAATAAATCATACTTTATCATTTAAAATTCAAAATTAATAGAGTCAACTGCTTTATGTCATAGTTCATGGAAAAAGATGCAACTTTTACATTTCTTTTAAATGGAAAAGAAATATAAATATATAGTGGAGGGTATCTTCTCAAAAGCTGGTTGAGAGAAAATTTATTTCTTGAAGAAAATTGTGGCATTCTTTGAAACATATTGTCAAAGGAATTAAGTCAATTGATGTTTGAGGATGCGTGTATAAATTTCCACTTTAAACTGTAGCAATAATATTTTTCTTCCTCCTCTTTTATGCCTTGCATCAAATTGAATTATCATTCTGCTTGCTGCAAGAATGATAATAAAATGAAAAATAAGAAAAAATTGTCTACAATTGAACACTAGCCAATTCTGAGAAGTGAACATGCATTGAGATGAACGCTTGTTCTCAAGTACCATATATGTGTCGTTTTAATTAAGTTCCTTTCATAACATTCTTAGTACTGAATGTCTATTTAGATGTTTTATGTTAAAAAACAATTCTTATTGAATCCTTCTAGTCGCTTAATGATATTATTAAACAGTCTTGGAGCTTCAAAAAGGTGTTCTTTCAAGTTGGTTATCCAAGTGTTTCTCTGTAATACTTTTGAGCAGCCTTTGTTCATGAGGTTATAAGGGAGTGTATTTGTTTGACCCTGTCCATGTGCACGATTTATCACCAAGGGGTTTCATAAGCACTTTTCAAATTCCACTGGGATGCACTCTCCTTTTCGCAGCTAAACTGTGCTTATTTGTTAATTTTCAAATTTCTTAATGGATTGTCCATGAAGGTGGCTGACTTATATATACCTCATGCAGACTTCCTCTCTAACTTTCTTCATAATATAAAGAGAAATGATTTCTGTAACTTTGTCCTTTCCCTTACTGTAGAAAGAGTTTGTTGGTATTTTAGCTCCTCTTAAGTGACATGCATTTGGCTTGGTACAGTTTTGCTGTTTGTTCACTAGTAAACAGTCCAAGCTTGACTGGTAAGTATTTGGTCTATAATCTTGCTAAAATTTAAGTCAGATCAGTTCTCAAAACTAATTTTAGTTTTTCTTTGTGCTCGCAGCATTGATTGATTATGCCAAGGTCTTATGCTTATCTCCAACAAATCCCAGCTCAATTTGTTCCAAACCTTCGAAACAATGTCTTTTTCAGCGCCAAGAAAACAAACCCTTTTCATATTATCTCTTGTAATTCTCTGGTATACTTCCAACATTGGTGTTCTTTTACTCAACAAGTACTTACTCTCCAATTATGGCTTCAGGTTCCCAATCTTCCTTACAATGTGTCACATGTCAGCTTGTGCAATTCTTAGTTATTTCTCCATTGCGTTTCTCAAAATTGTTCCCTTACAACCTATCAAATCAAAGTCTCAGTTTTTCAAGATTGCAACTTTAAGTGCCGTGTTTTGTGGGTCTGTTGTGGGTGGCAATATTTCGCTCAGATATCTTCCTGTTTCGTTTAATCAAGCTGTGGGTGCTACGACACCCTTTTTCACTGCTTTGTTCGCTTATTTGATGACCCTTAAGAGGGAGGCTTGGGTTACCTATGCTGCCCTTGTGCCTGTTGTTGCTGGTGTTGTCATTGCTAGTGGGGTATGTATTTTTAGTTTCATTTTTTTTAATAGCCAAAATTTGGTTCGGTGATTGTTCTTGGAGTTTGATCTAGATTTGATTGTTTTATGTTTGGATTTTATCATTGTTTTGTGCAATGGCCGAGTGAATAGATCTGGGAATTCTGTTATAAGAATTAGTTTGTGATTATTGATGCTTCACATTGTGATAATTATATGCAATATACTCTGCTTAAACACTGTGAGTTATCTACGAACAAAAGTTTATTAATAGGGGAATTAGATATTTCAATATTGTATTTGGTTAAAAAAAAAAAAAAAAAATTGCAGATGTAGGTTAGCACTTGCAGTTCTTTGTGGCACACATATGTTTTTCTGTCACTTACTTCGAAGAAGATGAGTTGTTTATTATATTTTAGTATTATTCTTGTAGAAATGATCCTAGAGAGTTTAAACTATTCTTGTTAAACGAGCTGTGTAAAATTCTTATGATTGTGGCTGAGGGCAGTTCTGTTAGTATACAATGTGATTAAATAGTTATGTGAAAGATATAAGGTATGCAGACACACACACTAAGACATCAGAGTCATGTCTCTTGTTAGAAACATAACTCCTAGGACAAGGTAACAATTGTCATTATAACTTCTAGGTTGTTAATGGTAGTTTGTAGACAAGTGTTTGTCATGGGAAAAGACAAATAACTATGATCTATAAATATCACGTAGAATAGCCTTAAAGATTCATTCTAATTCTTACAAAACACTTGAGTACACTAGGTATGTTTAAAAGGTTCTTGCCTGTCACCACTAGTCTAAAGCGTATCAAGGGCAGAGAAGGGTTATCAATGCGCAGTTTACCTATTCAAGTATTTCAACAATTTATCTCGTTTTGACTTGAATTGTGTTAAACTTAATTTTTCATGGAGTACTATGAATGTTAGGAATGTTCTAGGGCCAAAAATAATCAAATTTGGTGATTGGAACAGGCAAGAACAGAAAATTCCAGAAACTGTAAATCGTTTTCTAGTTGGAAAAACCAATCAGCATGTGCAACACAAGTGCCAGGGAGGAAGAAAGCGTGTCACTGTTCATCCACACGAGTGGTATGAAGAAAATTGAATATAGGATCTTGACATGGTTGTTAGGCTGATGGTGACATGTAAGAATCAACGAAACTAATGTTCACAATATATCCAAGTATTTTGTGAGAATTAGAATAAATTTTTGAAGTTATTATAGATAGTTATTGTGTCAACTTTCAAGAATTGATGGGAAGTTATATGGCAGTTGTTGTCTTGTCTGAAGAGTTATTGTCTCTTATAGGAGACATGACTCTTTATGTCTTATTGTGTAAGCCTCTGCACACATCTTATATGTAACCATGCAATTATTTAATCACGTCATGTACTAATAAATTCTCTATCACTGCAGACAAGATGTAGAATAAAATTTCCAAATTTGCTTGAAATGTGTGATGAAGCTAAAAGATCATCAGTGTGATAGAAGTTATCATAATTGAAAACAAGTTAGGTTACTGAGTTTTAAGAGAATTAATTTTCTAGAGATATGTTACCGAGATATCATCTGGTGTTACTGTGTTTGGTAAATCTTATTGTGAAATTTCTTCCTCTTTGTTGTTTTATAACTCTTTAACCAGAATTATAAATGTTGAATTCTGCTGTTGGTGGCAGGGTGAGCCAGGTTTTCATTTATATGGATTTATAATGTGCATTAGTGCAACTGCAGCAAGGGCCTTCAAGTCTGTTCTTCAGGGTATCCTGCTTTCTTCTGAAGGGTAAATGCTTAATTGCTTTCGTTACTTTAGCTATACTTAGCGCATTCTGTATTGTAGCTAATACCATTAGAAAATCTATTTCTTTTAGAAAATAAATCATACTTTATCATTTAAAATTCAAAATTAATAGAGTCAACTGCTTTATGTCATAGTTCATGGAAAAAGATGCAACTTTTACATTTCTTTTAAATGGAAAAGAAATATAAATATATAGTGGAGGGTATCTTCTCAAAAGCTGGTTGAGAGAAAATTTATTTCTTGAAGAAAATTGTGGCATTCTTTGAAACATATTGTCAAAGGAATTAAGTCAATTGATGTTTGAGGATGCGTGTATAAATTTCCACTTTAAACTGTAGCAATAATATTTTTCTTCCTCCTCTTTTATGCCTTGCATCAAATTGAATTATCATTCTGCTTGCTGCAAGAATGATAATAAAATGAAAAATAAGAAAAAATTGTCTACAATTGAACACTAGCCAATTCTGAGAAGTGAACATGCATTGAGATGAACGCTTGTTCTCAAGTACCATATATGTGTCGTTTTAATTAAGTTCCTTTCATAACATTCTTAGTACTGAATGTCTATTTAGATGTTTTATGTTAAAAAACAATTCTTATTGAATCCTTCTAGTCGCTTAATGATATTATTAAACAGTCTTGGAGCTTCAAAAAGGTGTTCTTTCAAGTTGGTTATCCAAGTGTTTCTCTGTAATACTTTTGAGCAGCCTTTGTTCATGAGGTTATAAGGGAGTGTATTTGTTTGACCCTGTCCATGTGCACGATTTATCACCAAGGGGTTTCATAAGCACTTTTCAAATTCCACTGGGATGCACTCTCCTTTTCGCAGCTAAACTGTGCTTATTTGTTAGTTTTCAAATTTCTTAATGGATTGTCCATGAAGGTGGCTGACTTATATATACCTCATGCAGACTTCCTCTCTAACTTTCTTCATAATATAAAGAGAAATGATTTCTGTAACTTTGTCCTTTCCCTTACTGTAGAAAGAGTTTGTTGGTATTTTAGCTCCTTTTAAGTGACATGCATTTGGCTTGGAACAGTTTTGCTGCTTGTTCACTAGTAAACAGTCCAAGCTTGACTGGTAAGTATTTGGTCTATAATCTTGCTAAAATTTAAGTCAGATCAGTTCTCAAAACTAATTTTAGTTTTTCTTTGTGCTCGCAGCATTGATTGATTATGCCAAGGTCTTATGCTTATTGCTTCTCTAATTTTGAGGCATTAACATATTTTTATTTATTCTTTCTTTTCCATCTTTTAACTATTCTTCTCTGTCAAATAAAAATAACAAATCATAGAAAAAGAAATAGGTAAATAGAAGATCCAAGAGGCCTGTAATGATCAACATAAAGACAAGTACCAACTTTATTTTTTGGCATTCTAATTATAATCATAAAAAGAGCTTTCTGATTTTTGTTCTTTTGTATCTTTAGATAAGATCGAATAAGAAGATTAGGAAGTTTCCAATTTTCACTTCCCCGCTAAAATTTAAAAATCCTGTAATTATATATTTTTAAATATTTATGGTTGAGATGGCATTGTTCAATTCAAAATCTTTTTTCTGTTCTTTTTGTCTGTCTTCTCAATTTTAAAAAGTCACACTTATATCCATTAACCAAGTTGTACTTGTATTATCTTGTTTTCTTCTTGCAGAGAAAAGTTGAACTCAATGAATTTGATGCTGTACATGTCCCCAATTGCAGTGATAGTTTTATTGCCTGCAGCACTTGTAATGGAGCCCAATGTGTTAGAAGTCACCTTGTCCCTTGCAAAACAACATAATTTTTTGTGGCTGCTTCTTCTCATTAATTCAACAATGGCCTACTCAGCAAACTTGTTAAACTTTTTGGTGACGAAACATACAAGTGCGCTAACGCTTCAGGTCTAATACCATGTGCCTTAATTGTTCTTACTTCAATCTTTGTTGTCACTAATACTAAGTATACAGAATTTATTAGGAAAAAAAAAAAAAAAATATATATATATATATATATGCATGAAATTGTTTCCATAATTTGACCAATAGTAATCCCTCCATTGTTAGTCAATCATGCAGTGGAAATATATATAGTATTATTTGGCAACCAGTGTTTTGTCACTCTACATCTCATACTTAGCTTCATTCAGGTATAGGCCTGATCTCAATCAGTTGTGTACATGCCTATCTTAGTGTTTGCTGCTCACCACATCGCCTACATTACACGACATCATGTGCTTTTTGGGCAGCTCAACTAACCATGTCCTGTGGAAGCAAACATTTGGAAAGCAACTATGTTTTATAGCACACTTCTACAATATGTATAATAAAAAATTTGCGGGAACTCTTCCTCTTGAGGATTTATTTTTTTCTTCGACAGGATTTTTTTTTTTTTTTTTTTTTTTTTTTTGGTTCTTAAATTCTCATTTCTTTAGTTTTGTATTGTGATCAGGTATTAGGCAACGCAAAGGGTGCAGTGGCAGTTGTAATCTCAATACTCCTATTCAGAAATCCTGTGACATTCATTGGAATTGCTGGCTACACAATGACGGTTATGGGGGTGGTTGCGTATGGAGAAGCAAAGCGGCGATTTCGGTGAACCATTCACTGGTTGCAGAAATTTGGTTTAGGTTAGGTGAGTGTTGTTTTGATGAAGAAGGTAGCGAGGTTGGAGAGACGGGAGTATTGGTTTATTTAGAGATAGAGGGAAGAGTGTGTGCATGTACCTTTTTTATTATGTACACGAACATATATGCCTTTGTATCGCCTTCTATCTTCATTTATTCATAAGAGCAAAGAATAACAATTACAAGCTTGCACTAAGAAAGATTTAACATGCAGTTCGTAGTTTCCTCCAACTGCAGACTGGGAAATGTGAAGTGGAAACGGAACTAGAAGAACAGAAACGGGTAGTCTTGTTATGCTTGCTGAAACATAATTTGGTGCAAATTCTTCTTATGACGCAGCTAATTTTTTTTATGGATGGAATTAAATCTCTAACTATTCGTACCTCTTGTGTCCTAAGTGACGTGTCATTAATATATGATTGTTAAATTATATGTAAGAAATGGGGGAAATTTAACTCTCCGGATCTCCCAAGTTTGCATTTAAAAAAAATGACCTTGAAAATATTTTTGAATTTAGAAAAGTTGACATGACACACTTAGGATTCATTAAACATGTAAAATGGGTTAAACTGAAAAGATTTAAACATATGTGGGTAAAACATGATTAACAGAAGTTTGTTTAAATTTTGAAATTTGAAAACAAGCCCCCACCCTTCAAAATCACTTACTCGAGTCATATACCCAAAAAACGATTGAATAACACATTTCGTTTCTCTACGATTTCCGACGACAATATCTTAATTTCGGCAAATATTCGATCCTAAAGCTTCCTTACACAAAACCATGGTTGACATTCACAAAGAAGAGGAAAACCTAACCCCACTCTGAATCCTAGACTCTGGTGGCGTCAGCAGTTTTTAGGTCGTTGAAGAAGACGCTCCGGTAGATCATCCGATGAGTCAAGGTGGTCCAGAGGCAGAGGACACAATGGCGGCACAAGAAAAGAGAGAAGAATCGGGAAATGGTTCTGAAGAGGAGGACTCTAGCAAGAATTCAGGTGAAGAGGAGGACGGTGGTGAAGAAAGGGTACGTTTTTTACTTTTTGTTTTGAATTTGATGAGCAATTTGTGCAAATTTGGGGATATGTAGTTGGTTTTATTGTTATGATGGTTGTGGCATTTTATCGAGCAATTGGCGAGCATGGGGGGAGTGCCTTTGTTTGGGTTCCAGAGGATGGGGGAAGGCAAGGGAGGCCGAAGGGAGGTTGTTTGTGGGAGGTTGGAGGATTGGGGATGGCAGGAAGTGGCAGAATAGGGGGGCTGGAGGGTTGCCCTCCATATTGCAGGGCTGGCCACGCACAGCTGCGCGGAACTTGCCATAACAGGCTCTCTAGGGCTTGCATTGGCTTCCTCGGTCCTGTCGAGGACAAAAACACCCACTCCTCGATGCCCTCGAAAGCCATATCCCCCAAATTGTTAGCCTATTAATTGTTTTGGTCTCTTTTTTTTTGCTGATATTTAGTTTATATTGTTTATGCAGATTTTGCAAAGCGTAAATTATAAAGACTATGGGTTGGAGATTGTAAGCGATAAGGTATCGTACTTCCCCGTAAAGGTGACAGTTAGGTCGAGTTGGCAAGTTTTTACGAGAATAATGGAGATTTTAAAGGAACAGAAGAAGGGTATGGACCGATTTAAAGAGAGTTGCTTCGGTTATTTTGTGAACATCAGAGAAAATTGGAAAAAGGCTTTCTAGGGGTAGGGAGTGCATTTTATGTTGCTGCACTCAGTAAAAACCCAAAAAAAAAAAAAATGAAATATGGTTCTAGTGGATGGGAAGCCACTACGATTTGGGATGATGGAATATGCCCTGGTGATAGGCTTAAAATGCGGGGCATTTCCAGATACGAAAGAGTAAGAGAGAATAAAAAAGAGTAGGGCAGTTGATAACTTGGCTAAAAAGGTTTTGGGGGGGCAGACATCTATTACGGGATGCGATTTAGAGGAGAGGCTAGGAGAAGTTGGGTTTACCTCTTCAGAGAGCTTCAAGATATGTCTGGTATGGTTCGTTCATTCGATCCTAATGGCTTCAGACTCAACAAAAGCTGTTAATATGAATTGGGTGAAGTTTGCAAGCAACATGGACTTATTTAATGCTTATCCGTGGGGACGGGTATCATTTCAGCTAACCATGGACTCCCTACAAGGAAAAGACATGGCGTTAAGGTATTGCCAATCTGTTAAGAAGAATAAACCAAGCACGTACAATTTATTTGGCTTTCCATGGGCCATGCAAGTAAAATATTAATAGCTTTTTGTTATAATTTTTGTATTATATGTGTTTTAATTATGATATATGTTTTTTTTTTATAATGTAGGCTTGGATGTATGAGGTTGTCCCTGTCCTGGCTAAGGCGGGGGGGAGGATGAAGACTTTCAATGAGCTACCGCAATTTCCTAGGATGTTCTGGTGGCACATCGAGAAGTGTATCCATTAGGATTATGACAAAATAAACATGGAAATTCAAGCAATTCGGGTAAGATTAAAGGATTAATCTTTTGTATATGCAATTGCTTTTAAATGTGGCTTAAATTTGATTGATTTTTTTTCTTATTGCAGGGAGTCATCTGTCCCTTCCTCACTGTTACTAGGTGTGAAGCGGGAGAGGAGTATGTTACATTGTTCAAAGCAAGGGAGGATGAACCAGATGAAGGGATAGACTGTCTAATACGGGACCTAGAAGGGGTCACGCATGTGAGTGAAGTTGCAGGGCCACTGCTTGAGAATGTTGATGACTCCGAGGATGATGAAGCTCCAATCAACGGGAGGGAGGAGGAGGATGAAGAGGTTCGTACGCCTCCACCCAATTGGCAAACCGGAATAACAAGTACCACTTTGCCGAGGCATGGGGGTCAGGAAAATGAGGTGGTTGACCTCATAAACGGTTTGTTTGAGAGTTTTACAATAGCCGTTTATGAGAGGTTTGACAAAATGAAAGAGCGGATGAAAAGGGTGGAGGAGAAAGTTGATAAGGTGGCAAAGAAAGCTGGTAGGGTGGAGGAGGAAGTTGGTGGAGTATTGAAAGTGGTTGAAGGGCAACCTGAGCTGAAAAGAGAGAGCCGAAACAGTAAGTTTGTCAAATCTCCTTACACCATAGTAGCGTATGGAAAGAAGAGGAAAATGAAGAAAAAAATTGAGGAAGTCCACGAAAGTGGAGAAGCAAAAATGGAGGAGGTTAAAGAGGTTAGTGGAGGAAGTAAGGAAGTGAAAATGGAGGAGCATGAGGCGGGACGCGAAGGAACTGGGGATGTGCAAATGGAGGAAGTGGAAGTGGGCAAGCAAAAATTGAGGAGTTAAAGGTCGATTTGTATAGGCCAATAGATGAGGAAAAGAAAAAACTGTTATATGCCTATTACAATGAATCTGGAAGTGATGCCCATGTGAAGTGCAAGACCGAGGATTATCCCCAGGAGTGGTTTGAAAAGATGTTGACGATGGGTAGGTGGCTTGACGATTCAGTGAGTTATTTTCCCTTATTTTTTTCTTATTTCTGCTTATGTTTTCCATGAGGTAGTGTATACTTATCATGTTATTTTTATTTGATGCAGCACATCGATGAGGTATTGGCACTCATGAGGCCACGATAGAACAGTAATTGTGATATATTGTATCCCGATTGTGCCATCACCGATGTGGCCTTTGGCCAAACGCTAGAAACGAAATATGACACTTTAATGAAAAAAGCCATTGGTAGAGATGCAGCAAAAGGAGGCAAGCGAAAAAGATTGGCCACAGATGACTTCGACGATGTCCCTGATGATTTTCAATTTGATGACAGGATGATGCAGTATGTACGAGGGGAAAGGCTCAAACATGGCCACAGTTAGGCAAAGGTTAAAAGAGTATACTGTATCATCAACATCAAGGATATGCACTACATAACTGTCGTTGCACTTCTAGAGGAGGGCTTGCTGCAGATCCTTGACTACAACCCAAGTATTTGTCGAGAGAGGCAGTTGGAGACGGATTTGGAGCCACTATGGGTATTGTTCCCATGGCTGTTGCACGACAGCGAGATGTTTTAGCACTTCGATGATGAAGTATTGACGGGAAAGTGGCCACTCAAGCGCCTTCCCGTCCCGATAAATGACTCAAGGTAAATTTTGTATAAAACTTACATGATACAATTATTCTATAAGCTGATTCTAATGCTAATATCTTCCTCCTATTGTACTGCTGATTGCAGGGCATATGCATTAAAATTTATTGAGTTCAACATAACCAACACCCCGATGGATGGCTTGAATGACGAAATAATGAGCAACTGTCGAGAGCGCTGGGTTATTAAGTGCTTCCATGGGTATATGGATCCCTTTTGATTGACCAAAACCTAATATAAGTTATTGTTGATGTTGTCATCAAAAGGTATGAAAGTTGGACTTAGAATTTTGTAGTTTATGTGATGTTGTCTTATTGGGTTGTCTTGAATAATTGGATTGTCTTGAATTGGATCAGCTGGTGTTGTTAGACATCAGGCTGTTGATACTTGGGTTGTGGTGCTGCTGTTGATGCTGATGCTGAGGGTGTGCTAGATAATTTTGGAGGATGGGGAAATGGCTAAAGAGAATGATGAAGAGGGGGGATCGAGGCTGCCAGTCTTACTTTTGTTTTGGGTGTATATAAGAGATTTATTTGTTGTATATAATGCTGTAATTGACACATTTCAGATTAATACAAAATCAATTTAGTATTTATCTCACTCTTTTGAGTTTGAGTTTATTTAGTATTCTTGTTACATGGCATTGATGTGTTGATGTAATTAGGTTGTCAAATTCAGGAGAAAATATGGAATCAATATGTGTTGGTGATTTTAGTTTGTCAAAATTAAAGAGAAGAGCTGAAAAAAATATGTATTGCCTATGATCACTTAAGCAAGGGTTTTCTACAAAGGATCGCTTAAGTAAGACAATAAATCGCTTAAGCGATCGTGCATTTAGACAGATGTTTATACTATCATGGACTTGATCGCTTAAGCGACCAAGGGTAAAAGTAAAGAATCGCTTAAGCGAGACAATAAATCGCTTAAACAATCGTGCATCTGGGAAAATCTTGATTCTGCCTCGAAATTAATCGCTTAAGCGACTAAAGGTAAAAGCGAAGAATCACTTAAGCGAGACCATAAATCGCTTAAGTGATGGTGCATCTGGGCAGATCTTGATTCTGCCTCGGACTTGATCACTTA